GTCACCTTATATTGTTAATAATGGAGCAGTGGACATGAAAGAGAGGGGAAAAAATGGAAGGGCTAACCGGGTATTAGAAATAACTGGGAAGAAGAGAAATAGTCCAAGACTAGTGTGGGATAGGAATATATATGTTCTGAGTTTAAGATGAATAAAAACTTAAGTACTGTGACAGGTTAAACTAAAAACGGCATTACTTTTTCTTCTTAGTATGTAATAAGTATTGTTTATGTACAAGCAATTCAAAGACCTGCATATAAATACTAAAGGGTCTCATTCTTTATGTTGGGGAATCTTTTCCAAATCCTATAATTGTAACAATCTTACCCTCTCAAATTGAACAGATGATTCAAAATACACTTACTTGCACCAAGAGTGAGCAAGCCAATTTAAACCATTCAGTTGATAATCTCTTAATTCTAAACCTTCATGTCCCCCAATATAGGATGGCTGCTTCTTTAGGGCTACAAATCTTGGCCTTTGTTTTAATACCTTTAGTAGAAATAAATGTTAATATGAAAAATTATTAAATGTAAGAAATTATATTAAAGGATGAAAAATGTCAGTTTTTCCCATAAATTTTGAAATATATCATCTCAAATCAAATTCAGAAATTCCATGACTCAAAATATACCTGATTCAGTTAAAGGAGACTGTCTTCTATTATTATAACAAGAACATACAGTGAAACATTTTGCCCTCCTTTTGAATGAAAAATTAAAGAGATAATTAAGTTCCTGATGAAATATTTGGGTCTTTTGTATTTCAAGCTATGTTATCCATTCACTTTAAGCACTGCTAAGCCCTGACATAGAAATAAATCATAAAGCTGGCTTACCCTCCTATTGGATTTCTGATTTTTAAGTTACCATTATTAATTTAATTCAATCTTGTAATAAGAAATTCCAGTGGTACTTAGACCCCAAAATTATCACTAATAATAACTTAAAGTACACAGATCTTATATTAGGCATGGTAGGCCTGGATACCTTATAGATACGTGACTTTTCCTTTCCTACCTTCAAAGAAAATATTCACTACCTTTTAAACCAATCATATACACCTAGTTTCCAGAGGATGTTCTATTTTTTGTCCCAAACTTACTCACCACAACTACCACCACCAATTTATCATCTTTCTGACAGTTTTGCTCACTAAGGCTAAAAGACAGTGCCACATCTAAGATCACACAGTAATTACAGGAATATCATTTCCTATAAGATTTACCAACCAAGTAGTTCTCTTTCTTAGCCTATCCAAAATCAGGATCTAACTCTCTAACCTGGACTTGTAATACTTAAGATGCACAAATACATTTTCAATATTAAAAATGTCAAATAATACTCACTTTGCAATCTTTAAAAGGAGTGGTTTTTGACTGATTTCTGCTAAAATATTCGTCTATACATGCTTGAAACTTTTTGGAAATGAGAGCACCATCCTCCCAGCTGCACTCTGAGTATGGAAGGCCCTGCCATTTGCAATAATAATCAGGATAACCAGCTGCTGACTTTTGATTGGAATGAGCTGTGAGATAAATCAGATTTTGTTTAAAATTAAATCTTACCCAATGAATAATTCTTGTTAAAAACTACACAAGTAAAAATTAATCATGTTTTACAATACTCTATTATTTCATAAAAGCAAGCTACTGTGTTTAATGTGTAAGCAGTAAATTTAAGATTTTTTTCAGATGTTTAATTAGAAACATTTATTACTAACCAATGATTCGTTCCACTATTTGATACTGTTTATGCAGATCATCTGTAAGTTCTTGCTGGCAATTATAATATTCCACATCTTCTGGAGAAGCATTTTTCAACCTGAAATATTAAAGCAAGGAACATGCTTCAAAATCTTGCCTAAATAACCTGTCCCCCAAAAAACTATCAGTAACATGTACTCCTTGTTAATAAAAACCTTAGTAATAATCTTAAATCTATAAAAATATTAATAATACATGTCACATTTACCATCTTTTTGTTTCCTGATCTTTTTTCTTATAATTATCCAATTTTTTCATTCCTCTAACATTCTGCTGTTTAAGGGTTTCTTCTGTCTCCCAAGTATTGTGAATATGGGACCATCCTTTCCATTTAATTAAATATTGGATTTCTCCTGGTTCCTTGTTTTTCTCAAATCCTGCATTTGGGTCACCATCTGCTTCAACTGCATAGATGGTTGTTGTAGCACCAGTAGCTGAAAAGCAAAGCACAATACATTCCCTGTAATTCTGTTCTAGGAATACTTCCATTCAACTCAAAAATTAAAGAATATGAATAGAGAAATATATGCTCTCTTAAGTCAAATATCAGGGCACAGGAATTTATGTGAAGTTACATTATATGTATGCAATAAAAACTCAGAATTTTAGAACAGAAAAATTATCTAATTTAATCACCTCAGTATTAAAATTAGAAAAAACAAGGTCAAAACTTAGTGGCAAACCTAAGAGTATACAGCAATATACAATAACTGTTGATTGGGAGACTGATAATTAGAAACTAAAATAACTTAAAATCATTTTTAAAAACTGCATGCCTGAAATCACTATGTCAAAGAAATATCTGCACCCCCATGTTCACTGTAGCATCATTTATAATAGCCAAGCCAAGGAAACAATCTAAGTGTCCATCCAGCAACAGATGAATGGATAAAGAAAGTTTGATATATACACACATACATATATATGAATATTATCATCCATTACCATCCATTAAAAAGGAAATCTGCCATTGTGACATGGACTTTGAGGGCATTATGCTGAGTGAAATAGGTCAGACAGAGAAAGGCAAATACTATATGCTCTCATGTACAAAAGCTTAAAAAAAAACACACACCAAACAACCTAGTAGAAAAAGAGATTAGATTTATAGTTACCAGAGGTGGGAGGAATATGATGAAAGTGGCCAAAAGGTTCAAAATTCTAGTTATAAGATAAATAGTACTAGGATGTAATGTATAACATAATGACTATAGTCAACATTGCTATATGGTAGATTTGAAAGTTACTAAGAGAGTAGATTCTTTGTTTTTTTTTAAATTAAATTTACTGGGGTGATATTGGTCAACATGAACATATAGGTTTCGGGTGTGGGTTTTTATATTATAAGATTTGTATATTGCACTGTGTGCTCACGGCCCAGTCAAATCTTCTCCTGTCACCATATATTAGGGCCCCCTCTGGCAATCACCACTCTGGTGTTTGTATTCATGAGTTTCAGTTTTATATCTCACATGAGTGAATTCATATGGTTCTTAGCCTTTTCTGACTGACTTATTTCACTTAGCATACTCTCAAGGTCCATCCATGCTGTTGCCAATGGCGCTATTTCATCCTTTTTTTATGGCTGAGTAGTATTCCATTGTGTCTATGTACTACATCTTACTAAGAGAGCAGATTCTAAAAATTCTCACACTACAGAAATTTTTCTTTCTTTCCTTTTTTATTTATTGTATCTATGAGCTATTGGATGTTACCTAAACTTATTGTGGTAATTATTTTGCAATACAGGTAAATTATTATGCTGTCCAACTTAAACTTATACAATGCTATATGTCAATTATATCTCAACTAGAGGCCTGTTGCAGAAAGATTCCTGCAAGAATAGGGCTTCCTGCAGCCAGAGTGAAGCAGCGGAGAAGGGAGTGAAACCCACCAAGGCGGGCTTCGCTCCCTTCTCCGCTGCCTCGGCTCCACTCCCGTCTCCGCTGCCTCTGCTCCCTCCATTCTCCACTGCTTTGCTCCCTTCTGCAGCACTTGGCTTCCTTCTACGCTGTCTTCAGTCTTCGCTCCACGCCTGCGTATGCAAATTAACCACAATCTTTGTTGGGTTAATTTGCATACTCACTCTGATTGGCTGGTGGGCGTAGCGGAGTAACCCCAATTTGCATGTTTCTCTTTTATTAGTGTAGACTAGAGGTCCGGTGCACAAAATTTGTGCATGGGGGAGGGGGGATGTCCCTCAGTATGGCCTGTACCCTCTCCAATCCAGGACCCCTCAGGGGATGCCTATGGGATTGGGCCTAAACCGGCAGGTGATCATCCCTCTTGCAATCCCAAACCACTGGCTCCTAACCACTCACCTGCCTGCCGTCCTGATCCCCCTAACTGCTCTCCCCTGATGGCCTGATCCCTAACTGCTCTCCCCTGCCGGCCTGATCATCCCTAACCGCCTCTGCCTCGGCCCCGCCACCATGGCTTTGTCCAGAAGGATGCCTGGAAGGTCATATGGAAGATGTCCTGTCTAATTAGCATATTACCGTTTTATTCGATAATACAAAAAGGAGAAAAATGCATGTCAAGATAAGGAAAATTAACCTACATATTTGAGGTAAAACAAAAATACATTAAAAAAAAAAAAACTCTCCAAAATCAGAACAAGAAAGAAAAAAACCAAACTCTGTGAAATCAAAAGTACCTATATAACTATTATTTAGGCATGGCAACAGAAAAACTCAAATACACAGGTTAAAAATTTTATATTTATCTGAAATACATGAACTGAGATTAAATACCTATTTGTTGGGAAGAAAATACTCAAGCAATGCAAAGTATATTTTACAGCAAATAAGTAAAACAGAAGAAAATCTACAATCTTGGCTTTCAAAATTAAAAAATCTTCAAGAAATATTTTATTAATCTAGTAATATTATTGAAACCACCAAACAGTAAATGTGTTTTGTTTTTAAATACCTCCTTTTCTCCCAATCCGACAATCCATAAATCGTTCTATTGTTTCGAATTCCTCTTCCTCGGGTTGAGGAACATCCTCTCCACAGACTTCAAGGAGGTCATCAGAATCTGTTTTCATTTCTTCATCTTCCTTATAGCTCACATTGACAGTTGCTTGGCGACGAGAACTTCTTTTATCATTATCATAATCTTCATCGTCGTCCTCCTCAGATGAATCAATCTGTCTCTTTTTTTGTCCAAGAATCTTCTTTCCATTTTTTGACTTAGATCTAGGAAAGACCAGGGAGAGAGGGGTGTTTTATAGAAACAATGTCATAAAACCAGAGTTGAGAAACTATATACAAAAAGAATAAATACCTTCTATAACCAACAATTTTCAGCAAATCGAGAACATTCTTACCTATTTTGAGGTTTTCTACTTTTAACTTTGTTTTTTGGTTCATAATCAGATTCCGTTTCATCACAACTGCTTTTATCTCCTTCTTCTTCAGATTCTGAATCTGAACCAGATTGAGATGGAGATCCTGATGCAGACATCTGCCAATCTTCACTGTACGTAAAATATATAAAATACATTTATTTATTTTTACATCCTATTGCAAATTTTATCTGATAAAATACAAAAATAATAAAATAAATTGTATTCTAAATATTAAAAATATTGTTGCTTTCATGCATACTAAAAACACTTGTGTCTGTAGAAAAACATTCTAGAAAATATTTGTCATAGATTTCTCCCATAACTCCAGAGTTTTGTTAATCATTTACTTTATACCTCAATGAATGGTCATACATAAATGTTAGTTTGATTATCACTATGGATGAAAACAGTATACTAATTTTAAGAAACACAGGGTTTAATTTTTAAAATATTGTATATTGATCATACTTACCCACTTAAAAACAAAAATTCAAATCTCTTACAATTATCTGGAGATAGTGAATTTAAAAATATACCCTTCAAAACTGATTTTAAAAAATAGTACATGTTCATCAAAAAACTTAAAACAGAGTATGGGAAAAGATATTTTTGAAAAATCAGCCCATCTCAACCTTTAATTATTACCTACATTACTATTTTTAGTCTAATTCCAATCAACATGTACAAACAAAATAGTGGACACACATTTTAATATTCTGCCATAATATAAATTCCAAATAAAAGATTTACACTGAGTTCTATATAAGAACTGTCTCACAGTCACTGCTTCTACTCCATTGCTCTGAATCTCTTGTACTAATGACTATGTTAATGGTTACATAAGCAAGTACATATGATAAGATCTGGTTTATAATAAAAACATAATAGAGAAACAAATTCTATTTTATCTTGAAATCTTTTTTTTTTATTTTGTTGAGGGTTTTTTGTTTTTGTTTTTTTTTAAATATATTTTATTGATTTTTTACAGAGAGGAAGGGAGAGAGATAGAGAGTTAGAAACATGGATGAGAGAGAAACATCGATCAGCTGCCTCCTGCACATCTCCTACTGGGGATGTGCCCGCAACCCAGGTACATGCCCTTGACCAGAATCGAACCCGGGACCCTTCAGTCCGCAGGCTGATGCTCTATCCACTGAGCCAAACCGGTTTCGGCTTGAAATCTTTTCAGAGTTTACACATTAGCAGTAACAAGTGGCAGAATATATGAAAAGTCTCCATATTATATTTTTATAATATAAATTATGATTTTTATATCCAAGCAAGTCTATTAATCATCCAACATTACTCTTTTTAAAATATATATATTTTATTGATTTTTACAAGGAGGAAGGGAGATAGAGTTAGAAACATTTATGAAAGAGAAACATTGATGGGCTGCCTCCTGCACGCCCCCTACTGGGGATCGAGCCAGCAAGCAAGGTACATGCCCTTGACCAGAATCGAACCTGGGACCCTTCAGTCCACAGGCTGATGCTCTCTATCCACTGAGCCAAACCGGTTACGGCCCGACATTACTCTTATTCTTTGCTTGCACCTATGTTGAGTTTAGAAATTACTAACTGGAGAAGAGTTACATATCTGATGAGACACAATAGTTGAAAATGAACTTAGTAAAGTAGAAGACAGATCTGGGAAAATTAGCCAGATTGTAGCATAGAAATAAAAAGATATAAAACATGATATAGTAAGATTCATGGAAGATAGAATAGATGATCCAATAAATATATACAACGGATATGATCCAAGACAAATTTACATCTATTAATAGTAGTACTAGAGAGAGAAAATATCCAGATACAATGACTGAATTTTCAGAAACTAATAAAAGATATGCATCTTCATATTAAAGATGCATAAGATTAGATGCAAAAGCAGAGTAACAGATTCAAAGCTAGATATATCAAAGTAAAAATGCAAAATATCAAAGAAAATTGAAGAAGAGACAATAGAAAAATGCTTTCGAAAACAATGAGAGGAAAAAAACTCAGACCATCTAAATATCTGAATTGAGAATCTGAAGTACTTCTAATACTTGAAGAAATTATAGTGAGTTCCTAAATGAGTTCTACAAAGTAAATTTCATGTGCAGATGAATAGTAAGAATAACTGTTAACATAAATTAACAGAATCACCCCAAATCCATCATCAGTTGATCCTTTACACCTTTATACTGAAGTTAAGATTTTTCTGACATTATCAATAAGCAGATATTTTGAAGTTTAAAAATATATAAGGGAGAGGAGTTATAGGAGATAAACAAGTAGCACAAAAACCTTAAGTCATCACAGAAAAATAAATGTTAAGAATTAATGGTTTAACCCAGCAGGCATGGCTAGGTAGTTGAGCGTTGACCTATGAACCAGGGGGTCATGGTTTGCTTCCCAGTCAGGAAACATGCCCAGGTTGGGGTTTCAATCCCCAGTGGGGGGTGTGCAGGAGGCAGCTGATCAATGACTCTCTCTTATCAATGATGTTTCTATCTCTCCCTCTCCATTCCTCTCTGAAATCAGTAAAAATATATTTAAAAAATAATTAATGGTTTAAATTAACCTAATCAAATGTCATGAACCAAGAGTTTACAAAAGTCCATTTTTGGTAACAATTTCTAATAAAGGAAGAAATACAGAATCATTAGGATTTTCTTGATATGAGAGCAAGTAATTAATTGCACAAAATCACATACTCTTTATGCTTTTTCCTTTTGACCTCACTCGATGTGTCATCAGAATCTTCACTGCTAGAGGAATCCTGTAGGAAAAAAATAATCAAAGTAGATGTTATTAATGATTGCAATTTAACCATCACATCAAATTTTTGCTTGTCATATTATTTAAAGTTCACTTTGCTAGTAACAGTAAATATAAAACCTCTTTTTCCCATGTTGTTATGTTTATACCATTAGCACATAAAGTGATCAATAACATTTCTATTCAAATTTATAATATAGCCAGTGAAATTAGGTAAACATTATGTCAGCATTTTGTATAAAATTTTAAAATCTGTCATCTGTTACATATAAGGGAGCTCCCTCAACAGAAACTTTACAGCCATAAAATATTCAAAATGATGAAAAGCAAGGACCTACAAATAAGATTACTCAACTCAGCAAGGCTATCATTTAACATGAAAGGAGAAAGGAAGCTCAAGGAGTTTATCACCACCAAACCAGCATTATAAGAAATGTTAAAGGGACTTCTTTAAGGAGTTTAAAAAAATGATGAAAACTACAAATAAAATGGCAGTCACCACATACCTATAAATAATTACTTTAAATGGAATGAATTAAATGCTCCAATCAAAAGACAGGGCAGCTGAATGGAGAAGAAAATAAGACAACAATTTGGCAACATGCACAAGAGACCCGCTTCAGATTGAAAGACACACACAAACCGAATATAAAGAGATGGAAAAAGCTATTTTATGCAAAAGGAAATGAAAAGAAGCTGGAGCAGCTATATTTGTATCAGACAAAATAGACTTTAAAAATAAAGGCTATAATGCCCCGCTGGTGTGGCTCAATGGTTGAGCACTGACTCATGAACCAGGAGATCCAGGTTCAATTCCTGGTCAAGGCACATGCCTGGGTTGCAGGCTTGACCCCCAGTAGGGGGCATGCAGGAGGCAGCGGATCAAACATCACCATTGATGTTTCTGTCTCTCTCTCCCTTCCTCTCTCTGAAATCAATAAAAACAAAAAAAGAACATTGCATATAAAATACCGAAGATAAGTACCCATCGATAGACAACTGGATAATGATGTGGTACATATATAAAATGGAATAGTACTCTAACATGAAAAAGAATGAAGTCTTACTATTTGCAACAACATGGATGGACCTAGAGGATATTATGCTAAGTGAAATAAGTCAGATAAAGACAAATACCACATAATTCCACTCAAATGTGGAATTTTTTTAAAAAAAGTGAATAGAAACAGGAAGAAACTTATAGATACAGAGAATAAACTTATAGTTGCCACATGGGAGGAAGGTTAGAGGGCTGAGAGAAAAAGGTGAAGGGATTAAGTAGTACAAATTGGCAGTTATAAGAGTTACAGAGATGTAAATTACAGCACAGGGAATATAGTCAATAATCTTAATATATAAAGAGGTAATATGCAAATTAGGCCAGGACACCCTATGGGGACAACTGGACAGGTGAAGGTGAGGCCTGGAGCAGAGAAAGGGGATCCTGCCCCAGTCAGTGCAGCAGCTCCGGCGGCCCGGAGCGGACACAGGCATGGGGGCAAGGGGGGCCTGGGGCAGAAGTCAGGGACGGTCCAGCCTGACTTTCTAGGCGGCCCATGGGGTGCCTCCTCACACAGCGGGAGGCGGGGCACCTCCTCACGCGATTGGGCCTCTAGTATTGTAATAACTATGTATGGTGCCAGGTAGATATTAGACTTAAGGGAGAGGGGACCACTTCGTAAGTTATATAAATGTCTAACCACTATGATGTACACCTGATACAATATAATACTGAATGTCAACTGTAATTGAAAAAATGAATCTATCAACTCTGGAGACCATTATTATTGCCTAGTATGACCTCAATAAAGAATCTTAATTGTTGGTATGTCAAATTTTAATATTTTTCTCCCCTATTAGGCTCACATGCACATAGGAACTACAGCGTTTATAGCTGCAGTCTATTCTTTTAAAAATATGTTGAGAATTTTATTAATATTCTATATAAATATGATTTAAACAGTATATTATTTCTTCATTCATATGTGTGTAAACACATATGTATGTGTATTTTCCTGGTATTCACATTTAGCTTATTTCTAGTTTTGCTTTGATGAGCAAATGCACACCAATTTCCATTTCTTATTTTGGATTAATCCTTAAAAGTACAATTATTAGGTAAAAATCTCTATTTCAAGACTCTTGATACACATATTTAAATGTAGTGATCTCCTATCCTTTAAAAACACTTATTATTTCTAATAA